CAACATCTATTCCTACTGTAAATATATGATGTGCTCATACAATAAAACCAAGAAGGCCAATTGCTATTATAGCATAAATTATTCCTAATGAACCAAAAGTTTCCTTTTTTCCAGATTCTTGACTAATAATGTGCAAAAGAAGTTGAGCAATTAAAATCAGAAATTACACAAAAAAGACTTGTCTTTACTGACTTTTATTCTTTTAGAACTAAAAGCCATGCATTTATTAGACGCCTTAGTAATAAAATTAGAACAAAAAAATTCTTCAAAACCGTCAGGCCGGGTTGAAAATTTTCATTCACCTAATAGTTAACAAAAATTGACAATCTGTAATACTTTTCTATCAATTCGCAAATGTCGTTTGCACTAAAAAGGTTATGAAATGCGTTTTATTTAAATCGTTTAGAAAATGAGTCATTTATGTATACCATTTTATGTGGAATTATTCAATAAATTTCGTTTTACACTATACTTATTGAAACTATTTGGAGTTAATTATTTTTTGTTTCTTAAAAGCAACCCTACGTGCTTGGAAGGCGTGTGTACCAATAATTTCATTCCTAGCATATTCATCCCCGAGGAAGGCTGTCGCCAAATTCACCGAAAGTTGTTTACTGGTTATATTGTGGTTTGCATTCCAATATCGAAACCGTCCATATGTATGTGCTTATGTATGTATCGTTCAGCTTATAATGGCCAGCGTAGATGTGTACGTATGTATATTTTGCAAAGAATATTCTAGTGACAATTGTTCGGCACTTACGTATGATTATTGCTACTTTCCTGTGATTTCCACTGTAGTTTTTTGCCGTTTTCCGTCTATCGGGTGCCGCTGGAAAGAGCTAGTTGCTTTGCCTTTTTTGGGGTTTTTGCTGGTGCTTGTCCCTCGACGATCGATTCTTAAATGTCACTGGGGAGAGGGCAATATTTTTGCTCGTAATTTTCTTTGCTGAAATGCACTATATATACATACATACACTGGTGCCGATTGCTTGCTAGGTTGTATGGCTGCGCCTGTGGAAATCGCAATTTCACTTCGCAATCAGGTTCGCTTTAAAATACCAAGCGAAGCACTTTCGTAACTAGATGGCACTATTTTCACACCGTTTTTGTGATGGAATAATCGCTCGGTTTAGCATAATTTTAATTAATTGCACTTTTTGAACGCACAAAACACGAAATCGCTGGTAACTTGCTGCTATGTATTGCCAAAGTGACGACTTTGTGAAAAAATACTCGCGAGTAGCTATGTTCGTTTTTCTTGATTTTATGGTTGCCAGCTCAAATTTGGCTCGCAAGAACCATGTTGGAGGGCTTACGGAGGTAAACGCCTATGTACGATATTGAGAAGGGAAATTGCTAAGGCCTGGAATAAGTGGCCTCTGCTTCTTAAATCTGTTAGAGGTACGTGTAGGTACGGATCTACACGTGTAAGGGTAATCGATGTGAAGCACTCAAGTATTTGTATAATAATGCAAATGCGCTTGTATGTAATTCATATGCAATTTAATGAGACAATATTGCAGTTCAATAGTACAAGAATGAGAATTCAATATAAATATAACACAGTGATGCCAGACATTCTCGGTTAAAAATCCCACGAAAATCTGAAAAAAATCCCACATTTTAAAAATTTATCCCACAAAATTCCCAAAGAATTCAAAACATATACACATTTCAGAAGTAAAATGGTAACATTCATATAAAATAACAACATTAGATTGGCGGTTACACATATGTTATGGCGTTTAGGTTTCTACTAAAAATGTAGCCTTCTCATCGCCCTCTTCTTAGTGTTTGTGCGTAGAGGTCCAATAGAAGGTTACATTTTTCGGTAGAAACGAAATTGACATTAATATTTAGCCGAGATTCTCCTCCGATTTGTGGCGTGCGCCTTGATGTTTTCACACAAAGGGGATGAACTTACAGTTTTACGTCGACTCCTAACGGCGAGTGTATTTTTATCTGAAGCTGTCTTTGATAGCAGAAATACACTCGGAGATTTGCCGCCGATGGGCGGCCGCTGTTAAGAAAAAACATTTTTTTCTAAATTTTTTTTTGCGATGTTGCTTTGACTTTGGCTAGAGCCCAGGCCCTGCCGAGTGGAAGCACGCACTGCTTACCACACCCATATAATATTCTATTCAAAGTTGGGTAGATTACTCACTAAGGGCCTAAAAGAATTTAAAAACTTAAATTAGCTTCAGTGTTTATTAAAACCCAAGATTTTGAAGAAATTTTTCCATATTAAGGTAACTAATGCATACATACATTTGTATTTTGTATTGTTGCATACTTATTGGCAATTCTTAAAACTATCACTGTTACAAATTATTTGCATTGTGTTATGATTTTTTGGTGACTTTAAAATTGAAGCACATTCATGTGCTATTTAACATCTCATCAGATAATTTATGAGGTGGGTTTTATCAAAGGCTGAGGTGAACTCAGCCGATCCAGAGTCCGGCGAAGGTCCCACTAACCCCCACCAAATAAAACACACTATTTTCGTGTATTTACTTCGAACACACACACACACACGGCGCTACGACTAGAGTGCTAGCAACCTTATGTCCAAAGAGAGGGAGAGCGAGAGAGAGGTGACGTTCGTTTTGGTCGTGCGGTCGGGTCGGAGCGGATGATGGCGGGAGCGCTAGCAGCACGGCGGGTGATTCTCAACAACTGTTGAGCAACGGTTGGGCAGCGGCGGCGGCACCGCGGGTGACTCGCGGCAACAGCGGAGCAACGGTGGGAGCGGTAGCAGCACGGCGGGTGATTCTCAACAACTGTTGAGCAACGGTAGGGCAGCGGCGGCGGCACCGCGGGTGACTCTCGGCAACAGCGGAGCAACGGTGGGAGCGCTAGCAGCGCGGCGGGTGATTTTCAACAACTGTTGAGCAACGGTTGCGCAGCGGCGGGTGACTCTCGGCAACAGCGGAGCAACGGTTGAGCAACGGTGGGAGCGCTACGACGGATGATATGCGGCAGCGGGTGACTTCTAACAGCAACTGGCCCTCGGCAACCGGTGGAGCGAAACGACCTAGCAAGACTCACTCCGGGCACCGCCATTCCCCTAATCGCACTCTACAAAAGTAGGGGCTGGAACGGGTCGGCGATGTCGGAGGCTCAACCAGCCGGCGACCAATTAGGATGCCTAAAAGGCGTGCAATGCTGGTCTGCCGGCGGGTTGAGTCGTACTTGGTTTTGGCTTGGCCAGTCGGTGACACCTTGGCGCGCCCGCAGGCACACCAGCTGATCGACCGATTGGTTACGCCGAGCTTGGCTTGGCTGGCCGGCAAGACATTAACGCGCAAGCACGCCACTAGCTCATCGACCAGTCAAGTCAGCTACTCACCTAGC